TTATAATGAAAGTCTGGGGGCAAGATGTTGCACTGGTGAAATGTAAAAAAAAAATAAAAAAACGGTATTTTACAGGCATTACCACAAAATGTAAACAATGTGAATGTTAGTGTGTTAAGATCACTTTCTGACCTTTCTCTGTCCATCTATAGTATGCACTATTAATTTTCACACTATATGCCTATAGACACCAAAACAGAAGGGACACTTGCCCCACAACGCCCATTGTAATTGCATACATATGTACCAGTGTTATTATTGTTAACTAAAACCATAAAACATTTTTATTTCTTGCAATAAAAAAAAACAAACAAAAAAAAGCTTATTTTATTTAAGCTAGTTGCCAAAGCAGCATTTCTCATTTTAGTTTAGTTTAAATTAAAGTACTAAAAACACTTTTTCAAAATCAAAGTGGCAAAGTAGTTTTGTTGAAATTATTTTCTTTTTTGCTGCTTGAAAGTGATGTAATTCTCAGTGTTTGCTTTTCCCTCAGTGCTGCTAGGGAGATTGTGGAGGATGTGAGACGAGGGGTCGGAGAGCGTTACGGAGCCGAGAAACTGGCAGAACTCTGCAAGCTGCTGCCTGATAATGAAGAGGTATTGTATCCTCTCTGACACCATGCTTCACAGAAACAGACACGTCTGTCCTTTCACGCTTCAGTCTGGTTCATATCAGAAGGAATTAGACGTGATGCTGCTTGTTTGAAATCTTCTGTTTACTCTGCATGATCTCCTGTTACAGTTTCTGATTATCAGAAACTGTCATTTATGTTGTGTAATTGAGAGCATGGTACGCAGCACACTTTTACACTCGTCTAAATGGTGCTTCCAGCTGCGTGCATGGTATCAGATTGTTTGCTAACAGTATACCATTATGCAGCTATTTCGAATTTCTTTTTACCGCTGAATGAAGAACTTCACAGAGAGTATATCAGGGCCTTATTGCCTGCTATATCCCCTTGCAGCACTGCTGAGTACAGTATGTACTTGCCATTATATAGAAGAGCTGGGTGAAAAATGTGTAGCACACCGTATAGAATCACGTGTCGCACAATGCAGTGCACTCTAGGGAAGTCTAGAGAAATGTAAAAAAAAAAATTTGACCAAGACTGGATTAAAGCTTTTTTCTAGAATTATAACTGGATGTTGTTTCACTTACTTTTTGGAGGAAAAAGTGCATTTTGGGTTGTCATGATACCATAAACATATATAGTGATACTATACAAAATTGCATGGTACCACACAATAGTGTTAATTCACAATTCAGATATTCAGTACATATTCAAATTAAACCAAATTTACTTTAAACTCGGCAAAAAAAGAAATGTCCTCTCAAATTCAACTACTTTTATTTCCTGCGAATTTCTTATCTTGTGTAAATGTTTGTTTTAACATAATTTAAACCACTGAGACAAACTGAACAAGTTTGACAGGCATGTGACAAACTGAAAGAGTCCCTGAACAAAGAGGGGCCAATATTAAAAGTCGCAGTGAGTATCTTGTATGTTTAGCAGCTGCTTTCAGTGCTACAGTGCATCTCATCCTCGTGAACTGCACCAGATCTGACCGTTCTTGCTGTGAGATGTTATTCCACTCCTCCATCAAGATATTTATATTTAGGGCTGGGCGATATAGTTAAAAAATGTATCAACGATAGTGTTTCATATCATTCGGTGTCGATAATTATTGACATTTTTTATAACCTTTTTTAAAACAAAGAGCAACAGAAGTTTTTTTTTAATTTTTTTTTAACCACTGTACTTTTAAATTAACCCAATTTATTGGGACAAACAACCACTCCAATCAGGCAACCAAAGTTGACAACCAGTGAATCTAATACTGGCATTCCCTTTAGTATCTATACTACCGTATTACCGGTATACTGTGCAACCCTAGTATACACTGTGCGGTATTCATCATCACATATGAATCTACTTTGTATTTGTGTTTCTTTTTGTCCAGGAGGCCAGATTGAAAAAGTTCATCGGTGACCGTAGTTTACTGGCAGAGCCGGATCTCTTCATTCTCTCTCTGGTGGAGTTACCCAGGTAAGAGTTCACGACTAAATGCTCCAATATAAATGCGTCATAGTTTCTTTCACTGTCCGCTCATCATCATCATCATCATCATCATCATCATCATCCTCACTAGCTTTCGCATGCGTCTGGACGTCATGATCCTCCAGCAGGAGTTTGACCCTGCGGTGACCTCTCTCTGTGTGGCGGCCAGATGTCTGCGGGAGGCTGCTCGAGGTAAAAACTTCCTCTCTCTAGATTTGTTTGGACCTGAAAGCTATAGCTCACCTCCTAAATTAAGTTTAGGGGCGAGCCTCAAAGTATCATGTGCTCAGCCTTTCATGGAGTTTTGTTCTGGTGTTTGATGGTGTAAGTGGATCCTGATGGAGGTTTCATTGATGGGGTTGACACTCATGTGTTGTTTGTGCAGAGCTGCTGAGCTGCCCGGAGCTGCACTACATCCTGCGACTGGTGCTCAAGGCGGGAAACTACATGAACGCTGTAAGTGTTTTATCTGACGCTTATGCATCAACACGTATCTCCTGGTAGGAAGTCAGTCTGAGGTCTCTTGTGCTCTCAGGGAGGTTATGCTGGGAATGCTGCAGGATTCAGGATTTCCTCTTTACTCAAATTGGCCGACACCAAAGCCAACAAACCAGGCATGAACCTCCTCCATTTTGTCGGCGTGGTAAGTGTCACTGGTAAACGTGTAACGAGTCACGCTTTAATAGATTAAATTAACGTAAACAAAGCTGCTGTGGTTATTGTGATAGAATGGAATCAGTAGGACAGAATTCTGGATCAGTGTGAGTGTGTTTTTTTCACTTTCAGGAGGCTGTGAAGAAGGATAAAGACTTGCTGATGTTTCCCAGCCGCTTGAGTCACGTCGGTCCAGCTTCAAGGTCAGGATGCAAACAAACAGTGTTAAAATTCCCCAAGCTCCCAATCCGGTAGAATATCAGTGGATCATGACTAAGTCACATTTCATTCCAAAATTGAAAGAATATTTCACATTAATGAAGAAAATCTGGAGAAATTTTGAAAATAATGATTTAAAAATAGGCTTTGATTTTTGTGACATCTTAACTTCTCATTTTTTTGCTGACACAGTTTTCATGGGTTTTGTGAAATTGCTTCTTTTTTTAAATATTTTCACAAACATTGCACTTAGGACATCATGTTCCTCAGTGGTTACTGTTAGAAAGAAAACTTAAATCGCTAAAAGTCGTTTTGTTGTTTTTCTTCTTCTGCTCAGGTTGTCAGAAGAGTCTGTGGTGGAGGACCTTTCTCGACTGCGAAGCAGAGTCGCTGAACTCCGAGTCAGAGCTCAGTCTGATGCTGAAATCGAGCAGCAGACCAGAGCATTTCTAGAGGTTCGTTCCTATTAATGTCAAGATCCCATTCACAGATGTTGAAGTGTCTTTTTAGTTCATCATGTCTTCGTTCAGGTTGTGGGAGTGAGGCTGCAGGAAGCTCGGGATGAGCTGGAAAGCTTACAGAGGACCAGTAAGGCACTTGTGGATTTCTTCTGTGAAGATGACAAGTCCTTTAAACTGGAGGAGGCCTGTTATATCTTCCATTGCTTCTGCCATCGCTTCCAAAGAGCCGTGCTGGTGAGCAGCATCATGTCTCTTTAAATGACATCAATTAGATAAAGTTTAAAATGTCCAAAGTACTTGCCTGTCTCTAGAGCTGCAAAAGTCTTAATCTGAAAGTCTGTTCTTGCAAAAATATGTTTCATGTAAATGTGACCCATAGCAACCACTTAACTGATGCTTAATTGCTTGGTAATATTATTGAAAATATAGCTGCTGTGGTTATTGTGATAGAATGGAATCAGTAGGACTGAATAAAATTTTGTATGAGTTTTTTTTTTCTCACTTACAGGAGGCTGTAAAGAAGGATAAAGACTTGCTGATGTTTCCCAGCCGCTTGAGTCACGTCGGTCCAGCTTCAAGGTCAGGATGCAAACAAACAGTGTTAAAATTCCCCAAGCTCCCAATCCGGTAGAATATCAGTGGATCATGACTAAGTCACATTTCATTCCAAAATCGAAAGAATATTTCACATTAATGAAGAAAATCTGGAGAAATTTTGAAAATAATGATTTAAAAATAGGCTTTGATTTTTGTGACATCTTAACTTCTCATTTTTTTGCTGACACAGTTTTCATGGGTTTTGTGAAATTGCTTCTTTTTTTAAATATTTTCACAAACATTGCACTTAGGACATCATGTTCCTCAGTGGTTACTGTTAGAAAGAAAACTTAAATCGCTAAAAGTCGTTTTGTTGTTTTTCTTCTTCTGCTCAGGTTGTCAGAAGAGTCTGTGGTGGAGGACCTTTCTCGACTGCGAAGCAGAGTCGCTGAACTCCGAGTCAGAGCTCAGTCTGATGCTGAAATCGAGCAGCAGACCAGAGCATTTCTAGAGGTTCGTTCCTATTAATGTCAAGATCCCATTCACAGATGTTGAAGTGTCTTTTTAGTTCATCATGTCTTCGTTCAGGTTGTGGGAGTGAGGCTGCAGGAAGCTCGGGATGAGCTGGAAAGCTTACAGAGGACCAGTAAGGCACTTGTGGATTTCTTCTGTGAAGATGACAAGTCCTTTAAACTGGAGGAGGCCTGTTATATCTTCCATTGCTTCTGCCATCGCTTCCAAAGAGCCGTGCTGGTGAGCAGCATCATGTCTCTTTAAATGACATCAATTAGATAAAGTTTAAAATGTCCAAAGTACTTGCCTGTCTCTAGAGCTGCAAAAGTCTTAATCTGAAAGTCTGTTCTTGCAAAAATATGTTTCATGTAAATGTGACCCATAGCAACCACTTAACTGATGCTTAATTGCTTGGTAATATTATTGAAAATATAAATTTTCTCTACTAAACAACAGGAAAACATCGACTTTATTTGATATGTGAATCCCAATCATATTGCAAGATTTTTCTTTTGAATCATTTCAACCAAACAGTCATTCAAACATTGAACATTAAATTGAACATTTTGAATGTGTATTTTTTATTTTTTTTTACAAAGTAAAATATGTGACCCTGGAGCACAAAAGCAGTCTTAAGTTGCACTGGTATATTTCTAGCAATAGCCCAAAATACATGTATTCTTTTATGCCAAAAATCATTAGGATATTAAGTAAAGATCATGTTCCATGAAGATATTTTGTAAATTTCCTACCGTAAATATATCAAAACTTAATTTTTGATTAGTAATATGCATTGCTGAGAACTTCATTTGGACAACTTTAAAGATGATTTTCTCAGTATTTGTTGTGGGAGTGAGGCTGCAGGAAGCTCGGGATGAGCTGGAAAGCTTACAGAGGACCAGTAAGGCACTTGTGGATTTCTTCTGTGAAGATGACAAGTCCTTTAAACTGGAGGAGGCCTGTTATATCTTCCATTGCTTCTGCCATCGCTTCCAAAGAGCCGTGCTGGTGAGCAGCATCATGTCTCTTTAAATGACAACAATTAGATAGTTTAAAATGTCCAAAGTACTTGCCTGTCTCTAGAGCTGCAAAAGTCTTAATCTGAAAGTCTGTTCTTACAAAAAATATGTTTAATGTAAATGTGACCCATAGCAACCACTTAACTGATGCTTAATTGCTTGGTAATATTATTGAAAATATAAATTTTCTCTACTAAACAACAGGAAAACATCGACTTTATTTGATATGTGAATCCCAATCATATTGCAAGATTTTTCTTTTGAATCATTTCAACCAAACAGTCATTCAAACATTGAACATTAAATTGAACATTTTGAATGTGTATTTTTTTTTTTTTTTTACAAAGTAAAATATGTGACCCTGGAGCACAAAAGCAGTCTTAAGTTGCACGGGTATATTTCTAGCAATAGCCCAAAATACATGTATTCTTTTATGCCAAAAATCATTAGGATATTAAGTAAAGATCATGTTCCATGAAGATATTTTGTAAATTTCCTACCGTAAATATATCAAAACTTAATTTTTGATTAGTAATATGCATTGCTGAGAACTTCATTTGGACAACTTTAAAGATGATTTTCTCAGTATTTAGATTTTTTTTGCACCCTCGGATTCCAGATTTTGTTGTATCTCGACCAAATATTGTCCTATCCTAACAAACCATACATCAATGGAAAGTTTATTTATTCAGCTTCCAGATGATTTATGAATCTCAATTTCGAAAAATTGACACTTAAGACTGGTTTCGTGGTCCAAGGTCACATATATAGTAAAAAGCTAGTTCCAGACAATGGCAATAAAAAGCATGTAAATAGGCAAAAATAAAGATTAAAGGGCAAAATAAAGGCACTTAATAAAATGTAGACATTTTTGTTCATATCCACCAACTGTATGCGGTAATATACACTATATTTACTTGTATAATATACACTATGTATTTTTTTTTAATACATGGAAAAATGTCCAGTGGCTTCCATTAACATTAAGTGATGACATAAATATGTGAATCAGTTCATTAAAATGGCTGGTTTAAACTGATTTATGGAAATGAAGATCACACATTCATGATTTGTTCATATTTGTTTCCTAACAGGAGAACACCGAGAGGGAATTACAAGAGCAGCGGCGTTTGGCACGTGAGCGTGAGAATGTGGAAAGGCGTCGATCTCTGGCTCTGTGCACCGGACTGGAAGCGGAGCGGGAGTCTTCTGAGCTGGAGCACGCGCTGCAGAGGAGCTTGAGTTACACGGGGAGCCGCCGCAGCCTGCGCAGGCTCTCGCAGTACTTCTTCCGCTCCGGTGAGAGAAATATGAAATCTAATAACCAACAGCACTGCGAATCAGAGGGTGGAGACCGTCATGTTCTCAATCTCTGCAGAGAATCAGAGCTTAGGCATTCGCTACAAAAGAGTGATGCAGACTCTGAGGCAACTAAACAAGGCATAAATAAGTTCAAACAAGTTCTGCGTTTAAACACAGATTCAACGTGTGACCTGCAGCGAGATGCAATGGCTTCCTCAAACGCCGTGAAAAGCCATTCTAGGTTGAATACAAGGACAGTCCCCAGCGATAACGCTTTTGTTGCTTTGGGAAAAACAAGTATCATGTCACATCAGCAGGGGGCAGTGAATGTCTTGCCGCTCACAGGACTATCCCCTGACAAAGTTTTGAAAGTTGAGAAACTGGTTCAAGACGCCTCTGAAAGGCTGACGCAGATAGAGACCGATACCTCGGCGGATGCTAAGAATAAAGAGTGTGTAAATGGCAAAGAGGGAGTAACACCACAGACAGAAGCCAAAACAGCCACTAGTCTGTTAGGAGAGACGTGGCCAAGTGCATCTTCTCCTCCTCCTCTATCCCAGGAGCCCTGTAGCCCAGAAAGAGAGCACGTTTACCCGGGGATTGGCGAGACGCTGGAGTGCCACACCCTAGTGAGGGCCCTACGCTCCTACGATAGCCTTTCTCCAACCATGACGCGGCCGACCACCAATCACTGCTCCAAATGGAAGAAAGAGCGGGAAGCCGAGGAGCGAGATGGTGCAAACTCACCGCATGCCAAGGATGATTCCCGTCTAGTAAAGACACCTACTCGAGGACCAACCAAAAGACTGCTGGTACAACGAGGAGGGCCCTCCAACAGCAACGGGATCCCAAGAGTGCGCACAAAGGCAGAACTAACTCCTGCCGACGGCTTGTCAGCTAGTCAGGTGTCGCGTCCTTCCCCTACACACCCCAAGTCCATTCACACATCGCTAGTAACGCGCTTCGCTGGCGTTCAAAATGAACTCAAGCACAGCGGTAGTGCACCCCAGAAGCTGAACACACCATGTGATACGGGGAAACAAAAAGGTAACGCTACTGAGAAGTTGAACCAGGATAAGGACAAGCATGGCGAGCAGTTTGTAAGGGGCTCGCCACTTCGTGTGTCCAAACGGCTTGCGCCCAACTCTGAATTCCAGACTCTCCACACCATACACTCTCCCACCGCTGCTACAACTGCAAAGACAATCCGAACAGCCATCATAAGTGCAGCCAAAGCCAAGACAAACAAGACCCCAGGCACCAGAATCCCAGGGCCTAAAATTCCCAAACCGGCTGCCCAACCCATGTGGAGATAATATCTGGTACTCTGAGTAGCGGCTTGATGATGTTATCTGCGTTTATTATAACATGTCGTAAACTAATTTAATACACGAGAAGGACTTTAGTTGCTGGATGTCAAGGGTTTTGTGTCAATGGTCAACTCAACCTGCAGAATGCCAGTAAATAAAGGAGCCATTCATTGGGTCTGCCCAGAATTGACAGTCTGCAGGGCACTGTAATGGATCCGAGCCGAATGACTGCTACTTTCAGAGCTCTTCGCTGATTCAGGTCACTGCGAGTTTGGCCTCCCATTTCAGGACTTTGATGGAAACTGTCAGGAGAGTCTCGTCCAGCACTGTCTTTAGCTCTACCTCAGAACACTCGAGTGCTCCGTGCAGGTTACGGGGCACATCGGAAGGATTCCTACCAGAAACTTCTTTCAATATGAGTTTTGTTTGCGACGTCGAAATGAACAGAGCTGCCACAGTCAAACAGACCACAGTAAGTGACTGAACTCTCATGTCACGTGGGTTATTGATTTTAACTTGCCCTTTGATTCAGGTCAAATTGACTGTTTACTTGAGTTACGGTACAAAATAATGATGCAGAACTTCATTTAAAATCATGTATGTAATAATTCAAGATCCCAAAGCAAATGTGTTGAAGTAAATTGTGTGTGCGGTGTGTGTCCATTTGTACATGTTGGGTTCCTTCAACTCTGATGCACTTTACAGACGAAAGAGAGATTTGGCAGAAACTGTATTTGTGGTAATATGCTGTACATTTGTTTTGTTTATATAAAATGTTAAATTAACAGAATCAAAGACAGCTGCCATTTGTAATATGCATATTTGTAAATAATGAGAATTTGAAATAAATGATGAATTTACTGTTATTCTTTCTGCAAGTCTGTGTTCAGATATTCTATCTGACATTTTAAAATGCATCACCTAGTAGTAATTAATCGTTTTAGGCTACTGTCATTAGCCTTGCAAACAGTTATTTAACACTAAATTAATGCTGGATAATATAATAAAGGTTACAGCAATAATCACAAATAAGGATAGATTTGAAAATAGTCAAGTCACGGTCAAAAAGCTTCTTCAAAAGTTGTTGCTTAAGTAAGGATGAGGTTCTCCACAAATAATCCTTTTTCCAAAGTAAAATGGACCGTAAATGCCTATTGACTTTCAAGGTGCACGAAGTCTCAGACTTCATACAGACACCTGTGATCAGTGTTGGGGAAAGTTACCTTTAAAAGTAATGCGTTACAATATTGCGTTACGCCCTAAAAAAAAGTAACTAATTACGTTAGTTACTTTTTATGGAAAGTAATGCATTACTTGTCTTTTGCATTCCTTTTTAAATCTGGGCTGGGACTGCTTGTTTTATTTTTTTTTTAAGAAAGTTATTTTTTTGAATGACCAGTGCTCTCTTCCACCTTCAATACCATGACTGAGGTGAGACCCTTGAGCAAGGCACCGAACCCCCAACTGCTTCCCGGGCGCCGCAGCACATGGCTGCCCTCTGCTCCAGGTGTGTGTTCACGGTGTGTGTTCGTGTTCACTACTCACTGCTGTATGTGTGTGTGTGCACTTGGATGGGTTAAATGCAGAGCACAAATTCCGAGTATGGGACACCATACTTGGCTACATGTCACTTTAAAAGCCCTTTCGTACCAAAAGTGAAATGAATGAGCCTCGGGCTGAAAGAAATGTAATGTAATATCTTTAGAGGGTGCAGCTCAAACAAATCTTTCAGCTGTGCTGCCATTCTGGGTTGCATGAAGAATAGGACATAAGAGAAGAAAGTTCAACACTCTTCAGCAGTTAAAAAAAAAAAAAAAGAGAAACAAATGTTGTTTACCTAAAGTCATTTTTGCTCATTATATGGTTGAATTAGATCATCAAAGGTCAGCAGCAAAGATACTGGTTAATAAAATGGGATTAAAGGAAATTTGTATTTAACATATTTAATTATTGCAGGTTTGCATCATATTCTGAGTTTGAATTTCACTGTTTTTATTCATTCTGAGGAATATTGAATCTGTTTCTGTGCGAGTGAGATGAGTAAATGCATGTTCACATTTAGTCTAGGATTACAGAAAACATCATGTTCACACAACACTTCTGCATTTATTCCCAATTTCTCTCAACATGGGGACAGCAGAGCTGTCAGTCAATAAATAGGAAAACAAATTAATTGTTACTTATTTAAAAAAGTAACTCAGATTTTTTTCTTGTATATTAAGTAGCGCATTACTTTACTAGTTACTTGAAAAAAGTAATCTGATTACGTAACTCGCGTTACCCCCCAAAAAGCCTGTGATTACGAATGAAGCATTTTTGCTGAACATTGTTCATTATCAGTACTATTGCAGAAATACCCTATTGACAAGTTTGTCACCCATTATTAATTTATTCAGTGATTGAAATTGTCCAATGATATGATCTCATGTGATCTCCAAATGGCAGCTACATCAAGTCAAGTCACCTTTATTTATATAGTGCTTTTAACAATACAGATTGTGTCAAAGCAACTGTACAGTATTAATTAGGAAAGTATTGTCAATAATGCAAAGTGACAATAGTAAACACTCAATTTTCAGTTAAAGGCAGTTCATCATTGAATTCAGTGATCATCCAGCTCAGTTCAGTTTAAATAGTGTCTGTGCAATCAAGTCAATGATATCGCTGGGAATTAAGTGTCCCCAACTAAGCAAGCCAGAGGCGACAGCGGCAAGGAAACAAAACTCCATCGGTGACAGAATGGAGAAAAAACCTTGGGAGAAACCAGGCTCAGTCAGGGGGCCAGTTCTCCTCTGACCAGACAAAACCAGCAGTTCAATTCCAGGCTGCAGCAAAGTCAGATTGTGCAGAGGACTCATCTGGTTCCTGTGGTCTTGTCCATCATCACAGGGCATAGGACACCCTTGTCTGTGTCCAAAACCTGAAAAATGCTGCCATCACAGGTAACATACATGTTGTTTTTGTGATTTTGTTGTGTTTATATTATGTTTCTGAATGTGTTTTGAAATTGTGTGTCAAGGATGGAAGTTACCTGTCATTTTACTGCAAAACAAATTTACCTGCAGGTATAAATAAAGTAACCTAACTTAACCTAACCTACAGAGGGTAAAAACACCAATGTAATATACAGTATGTGTTCCATTCGATCTACAAGGATGCCTTCGTCTGGACAGATTTTATGAACACATCTCTTAAGTACAACAAACAGCTAAACCATGGATTTGACTAAAGGCTCCATCTTATGTGAGTGAACATTTTAAACAGACTTGTCTAAAGCATCATTAATTTCTTCAGTTGTAAAATTAACTCAGGTCGAGAAGATTATTTTGAGCACCTTTAAGCTACTAAACATGATCATATATAGCAGGAGAATGCAATTGGGATGAAAGGACATATAAAATGCAAATTTTGTGAAGTTTAATGGTGGTGGTAATAGGGGAGCTACAGTGTAGGTTCTTTTGGATAGCCTTTATTGTTCTCACTCTATCAATGACTTATGCCAAAATGATAAGGGTTGGCAAATGAACCAGAAAGTCCTGAAACTTCCTATTTTCCAGTCCTCATTAACAGCTCATTGTTTTGTGGCCCTCGGTTACACTCCAAGGCCCCTGAACTCTCATCCCCTTCTCTTGACACAGTCACTCCCAACTTGTAACTGTTGCCATGGTGATGCTTCAGGCATGGTCAAGAATCCCCAGCTGAACAGTGGGAGACGGGAAAGGAAAAGATGCTAGACTTGGGGTCACAGTGGGAACGATCCTTTTATAGGACATAATGACGCCAGAACTCTTGGGAAAAGCAATAAACCACTGCTGTCTGTCTGTGTATCCGTGTGCACACATGTGCATTGCTGGTTTAATCAATCTCTGTCAATGACATCTTTTTTTCTGTGGGAAATCCAATGAAACTGCTGGAAAAGTCGAAACATAATAGGCCTGTTAGAGGCGTTAGACCTCTCTGAACTCAAATACAATTTATTAATGATATATAAGATGTACTTGCATTATGCAAACAATTAAGTATTCAGTCATGTCATCACAAAAAAAATTTTGCTCAGTGTGTGTGACACAAAAAAGTAAAATGTAATTTCATGGTGACTGATAGCAGTCACATTACTGTGACAACCTGCATGGTTTTCTGGAATATGGAAGGTTAAGTTATGTGCACTGCATTGTGGGATACAGTATTGCACCGACTGTACTGTGTTGTATACTGTACATTTTAATAATAGGTCATTTAGGTATTATTTTGTTACTTAACTTGCTCTAAAAAATGCTGGGTTGTTTCAACCCAATGTTGGGTCAAATATGGACTAACCCAACTGTTGGGTTAAATTTTGGTTACATTTTTAAATTAGCTTTTTAACCCAACAGTTGGGTTAGTCCATATTTGACCCAACATTGGGTTGAAACAACCCAGCATTTTTTAGAGTATACTTTGTATAGTATAAGCCTACATACTACTGTACATTACATACTTTTTTCTCCCTATTCATTCATTTAGTCTTTTCATTCATCTCTTTCTTGACTATTAAATTGAACTGCCAAGAAGACATTTTTACACACACACACACACATTCTCTCTCTCTCTGCATTTCTCCCTTTTGTCCTCTCTGTCATTCATTCATTGCAAAAACTTTGGTGATACAGGCTTCAATAAATCAGTGTCCCAGATTTCAAAGTGAACTGTCCTAGATTATCAAAAGCAATCAGGACATTTTTTGTCCATTGAATCACCCTTATAGTGTTGACATCACATGGAACCATATGTATAGGTTTCCTTTTTTAAAGAGTAAAAAACAAATAATAAAAACTTGATAATTCCATTAAAATCTAATTTGAGGTGATGCTAAATTACAGAAGCTGAAAGTGGAAAACATGTCTCAGAATAATAGTCAAAGGACGGTTTAGTCGACTGAATCATTTACTAGGTTTGTGCTCCTCTCTGAGGAATTTTAAAGGGGTCATATGATGTTGCTAAAAAGAACAATTTTTTGTCCATTGAATCACCCTTATAGTGTTGACATCACATGGAACCATATGTATAGGTTTCCTTTTTTAAAGAGTAAAAAATAAAAATAAAACAAATAATAAAAACTTGATAATTCCATTAAAATCTAATTTGAGGTGATGCTAAATTACAGAAGCTGAAAGTGGAAAACATGTCTCAGAATAATAGTCAAAGGACGGTTTAGTCGACTGAATCATTTACTAGGTTTGTGCTCCTCTCTGAGGAATTTTAAAGGGGTCATATGATGTTGCTAAAAAGAACATTATTTGGTGTATTTGGTGTAATGAAATGTGACGACCCCGGGCTGGACTCCGCTTCGTCCATGGTGAAAGCCGATCCGGCGATCCACAGCGCAAAGTTGATGTATTTCCTCAGTGACCAGCACGGCTCAGCTCCAGGCATGACGAAGCCATATCCGCTTTTGGAAGACCAAACAAAGTAGTTTCGCTTTCACAACGAAGCACACAGTATGGCGTTATTTTAATGACAAATGTCGAGAGTGCATTATATATTGCACATTAATATATTGCGCCAGCACGAATCTCTCCGCTCGCTCGCGGATTTCCTTTGCTCTCGCACAAAACCCCGAAGAGCTTAAAACGTGTCTCTCCTCTCACTCAAACTGTCCTGTGCACTCTCAAATCTCTCTGTGCTCATGCACTATAGATATTAATTATTTTCGCACCTGAATTAAATGTTGTCAGAAGTTATCATTGTGCACTTTTAAAAAGTAGTCTCAAAACAGATTTGTGCAGGGCCTTTCCTTGATTTTTTATTGTTGTATTTTTGTTTTAACATAAACTTGTTATTGTAGCTACTATGTTTTACTATATCTCTTTTATGTTTGTATTTGGATCTTTTCTGTGAATGCACATATGCATCTCTTTGTAAAGTAGGCTACTTTGTATACACTGTTTTAAAAGGTGCTATATAAAAGCTTAAACCAATCAGACCTCCACAACTGACCGATGAAAATACTACATGAAATCTAATTGGCTGAGAGAACAGGAATCTGGAATTCTTTTGACAATCAAAGCTGGATCTTTAATTTATTTCCAGTTTAATCATATTTAGCAATCTTAATGAAATGTGGCATATATTAGAAATGGCTAAGAATTGGGTGCTTGGATGATTTGTACATATAAATAACCTCTGTCCAGCTGAGCAATTTATCTAAAAACAACATGTTATAGCCTATGGCTCTAAAGACTTCATATAAAAGATCAATGTTATGTCATATGTCTCAACTGAATTTAAAATAATTGCAATAAATTCTCAGTTGGTATGATGGCAATAATAGGTAACAACTCCTCAAATCAACATCAAATGCAAAAATAGATGTAAATGATGCAAGATATAATACAATAAATGCTCTAATAGCATCGCTGTTTGGACATTTATTGGGAGATTTTTTTTTGTAATCCAGTGTTTGGTTTCAGTTCTGAATTTTTTTTTCATGAAAATCCACTTAATAGCTACACATTCAATGGCACTCTCAAACAGTGAATATACAGTTATATGACATTTACATGTAATTACATTGTCTGCAAATGCATTAAACCCATAGAATATGATGTAGTAATGTTATGACAAATATGAAAAACTCATTATAGTGTTATATTTGGTCTCCAAATCATAAGTATCGGTTTAGGGAATAGTGCATCTGACCCATATCTAAATAGTTATGTCTTAAATCATAAGATTTGAGATTCGCGCTCGAGCAATATATTAATGTGCTACAATAATGCGCTCTCGACATTTGTCATTAAAATAACGCCATACACAGCGTCTTCACGACATGGAGGCGGCAACAACAATACTACAGCGAGAATAAAAGTTACGCCTTCTTTCTTTGTGTGAACATTTGGGCGGCGTTATGCAAATCTTCCCACATAGTGATGTAGACATGTGGGGGCGTGGCTGACTCTTAACTTTTATAAAGAATATCTCTTTGGATTTGAGACTTTAGTCTTTGCAACTTTACAGATCTTCTTTATGCACCAAGAGCTTGTAACACTCCAAAGAGAAAGGAAAACTTGAAATCGCAGCATATGACCCCTTTAATGCATGATCTATTCACATTACATTAAGCGGTATCATTTAAACTATAACGTCAGTACGGCATGGCAGTAACGTTTAAATATATTATACAGGTTTTGGCCATCTAATAACTGTCTGGAAGTAAATCCATGGAAATGAGCAAAGCAGATTTTTCCATACAGTTGTCCACAGTCTCTGATCTAGAGTCAGATTTTGACATTTTATTATAATTAAACGTTTGATTATGGAAACTGATCGTAGATCAGCAGCTGCAGGCGGCCGTTTATCCCAACATTGACATTAGGCGGCGAATCAAATACTGTAATGCAGACAGGAAAACAGATGGTCTAGCCTGTAATTTAGAGACGTTCTTCTTCTTATTCTATAGCTTTTTTTAGGCAGGTTGAGAATGCGAACCAACTTAGATCAAGGGATGAGCGGAGAGAGCAACAAACGCATTTGCGAATCGATTCGAACGAGTCATCGAAAAGATTCAGTTCTTTTTTTTATTTATTTTTATTATTAAATTTTTTTTTATTGCATTGCTAAGAACATACACTATCAATGCCAGGGGTACATACAATTGAGAGTACAGATGCAGGTTGCAAAATCAGGAAAATATCGTACAAATGACACAATGAGGCTTTGGAGTTGCTGGATGTCAAAGATTCAGTTCATACGAGTGATTCATTCGCGAATCAGACGTCACGTGTGACGTCACGCTCTCTCTTCTTCGCTGGTTTGCGGCAGCGCTATAAATGCTGGCGCGCTAGTGTGCGCGCTCTCTCATTTTTGCGATGTTGCGGTGGAAGTGCGCTAGCGCGTACAAAACTGAGAAAGTCAGGCGGTCACAAGAGGGTAAGTTTAGCTAAAATATCAAGTTGTTGCGTACAGTTTGTAGAATAAGTGTTTCAACCTGGTCCAAATCCATCGGAAGACGTCTGCTTCGACATGTTTGATGCTAACTCGTGCGCTCGTGGGTTTTGGCACGCGGCTGTTTGCTTGGCATGTTGGTTGTTGTTGCTGCAGAAATAAAACCACTTTAAAACGGACAAGTCCCTAATCCCGTGGTCCATGTCAGGAATGGGTTTGTTGTTGATATTTGTAGTCGGAGTGCCCGTATGTAACGTGTCGTTATACAGACGGCGCTGCTGGCGCTGTAGCAGTGTTTAAATGCGCTGGTGTCTTGTTTCAGGAGGCTGAATGTGCTCTGCATCTACTCCAGCTGCTGCAGCTCCGCTGTAAGTATGCGCTTTCTCTCGGTCTCGGTCACCCAGCGGTAGTCAGCTGTGCAGGCCAGCCCGTGCCTGAGCTAGTGTTACTCTGCTGGAAGAGGGAGGTGCTGGCGTGTGTGCTCCAGCAGGTTTGGCTGTTTTAGTGACTCCTGCTGTGCAGCACGGGTCCAGCCGTGTCCTCTGAGAGTGGTCTGTGCTCACACAGTGAGGCAGGCCTAGTCTGGGGGCGAACACTCAAGTCAAATGTTTCTTGTAGCTGCAGGCTCCAGTTTCTTACTAGGATTGTTGTTGCAGGTCACACAAGACCCCAAAATGCCTTGATCCCAATGGCCAGTTTTGCTGAAAGGTAAGAATAGACCCCCCCAAAATAATGTCTTGCAGTGCATGTGATCTCTAAAAAGTTGCACTTAATTTTTCTTAAACATGCTTTTTTCCTGAAGTCACTAAGTTCAACTTGTCATTAAAAATTCATCCATTTTATGAGCCGTTTATTGTCCCAGTCAACATGCAGTGATGAGGCAGGCCTAGTCTGGGGGCGAACACTCAAGTCAAATGTTTCTTGTAGCTGCAGGCTCCAGTTTCTTACTAGGATTGTTGTTGCAGGTCACACAAGACCCCAAAATGCCTTGATCCCAATGGCCAGTTTTGCTGAAAGGTAAGAATAGACCCCCCCCAAAATAATGTCTTGCAGTGCATGTGATCTCTAAAAAGTTGCACTTAATTTTTCTTAAACATGCTTTTTTCCTGAAGTCACTAAGTTCAACTTGTCATTAAAAATTCATCCATTTTATGAGCCGTTTATTGTCCCAGTCAACATGCAGTGTTTTTTTTGTTGTTGTTGTTAATGTCACATTAAACAAGTAAAATGGGTTGTTACTGCTATTTCATGTTGGTTGGTATTGGTCACTTTACTTGTGACCTGATTGTTAAATGCGTGTTTTTTTCTGACTTTACAGGATGAGGTAAATGAGGAGAAATTTGAAAGGTCCATCGAGATCATCCTATTGTGGGTAAGCTTTAATCATAACTTCAGTGTCGTGATCCAAGTTGATACCATCATAGCAGAAGTGTTTCTCTGTGATGTCTGTTAATCTTGGAACAGCAAATGCAGGGTTGGCACTGATTTTTGAGACTGTCTGCAAAAATCTGACAAAGAAGCCTGCTACACTTTTATTTACTTCATTTACACTACAATTTACTGTTGAACGTCATTTGTTTGACACCTCTTTCTGTTGTTGTAGGAAAGATGTGTGAAGATCTTCAGAAATCAAGTTTTCTGTTCTTGCCCTTTTTTTAATGTGAAAAGTGATTGGTGCTCACTGTTAACGGTTTACATTTTTTAAAATGTATTGTACGTTGTTACAAATATATAAAATCTACAATTATAAACAGCCCACTTCCTTTAGTGGAAATTCCTAGAACAGGGTTGTGTTCCTGGAGAGCCACTTTCCTAAAATGTATAAGTTGATGTCCGATTGCTGCTTTGTCGTCATGGGAATGGCATGTAGATTGACATGAAAATATCAGGGATTTTAGCATAAGGCTGCAACAAAATGTGAAGAATGAAGAGGATCTGAATGCACTGTTTAGGAGATGTCTGTTCCTGCTTCTGCAGTGCCACCTTCAGCAGTTTAGCTCTAGCCGCAGATAAACATGCCTGAAGCCAGGTGTTCTGCATCACTTGTCTTTCAGGCGTGCTGGCGCTGAACAGCAGGAAAGTGGTCCTCCAGGGTCAAGATTGGAAATCTTGCTCTAGCATTATTTGAGCATGAGGCTGCTATACGAAGACGATGAATGAAGGAGATTTCTGAAATGGTACAATGTTTGATTTGTCTCACTTGGTTCTGCTAATGTTTTCAAACACTGGACAATAAAAAGTTTATGAATGAGTTTTAATTTGTCTGAATACCTGAAACTACGTTTTAAAACTTGCCCTGAGGGTCCCCCCAGGTTTGTAAAGATGGTGCTAGGTTGTTTTTTTTTGTTTTTTTATTTTAAATGAACCCACTAAAGTGTACTACCTGGCCTCCCCTGTATCATCTTTCCTTCCAGGCCTCAGGTTTGAGTAACAGTGACGTTAATGTCTCCCTCTACTGAATTTCTAATGTAACGCAAGGAAAATGGGAGAGGATGGCAATGCATGTGTTCATATTTGCTCTTCATTAGTCTGCTTGGTGAATGGTTTTCCCCTATTGATCGTGTTTCTGGACAATGAGTCCTTTAACCTTAACTGACTGTACGTACTCCATATGCCTGTGTTTGATCCGCTGTACTGTGATTTAACCTTGTAAACTCTTAAATAGATCAGTCCAAAAAATACATATTTTTTTTTTTTTCAAGTTGTATTTGTGTAAATGCATTTATGCCCCCTCTGAGCAACACTAAACTGTAAAGACATCTAAATGCCACATCAACGCTGCTCGTATGCCAGCTGGGCCATCTAAACATGGCATGGCTTTGAGTTGGAGGGAGTGGTGTGGTCACATGTCTCTTGGGGAAACCTTACGTAACAGAACTTAAAGATTTTCAATGATAAAAATGGTGCTGGATTTGTTTTTTATTTAATATCTTAGATGTATTAATATTTATCTAACAAAACTATTAAGCTTATCTTAAGAAGCTGTGTTTTACTCCAGTGGATCAAGTCTGCTGTGAGTCAGTGGCTCAGGGACATGTTTAGTTCTACCCACGGAACGAGCTCTAGAAAGGGAAACATCACTTGTCTTTCAGGCGTGCTGGCGCTGAACAGCAGGAAAGTGGTCCTCCAGGGTCAAGATTGGAAATCTTGCTCTAGCATTGAGCATGAGGCTGCTATACGAAGACGATGAATGAAGGAGATTTCTGAAATGGTACAATGTTTGATTTGTCTCACTTGGTTCTGTTAATGTTTTCAAACACTGGACAATAAAAAGTTTATGAATGAGTTTTAATTTGTCTGAATACCTGAAACTACGTTTTAAAACTTGCCCGTGCTAGGTTGTTTTTTTTGGTTTTTTATTTTAAATGAACCCACTAAAGTGTACTACCTGGCCTCCCCGTATCATCTTTCCTGCCAGGCCTCAGGTTTGAGTAACAGTGACGTTAATGTCTCCCTCTACTGAATTTCTAATGTAACGCAAGGAAAATGGGAGAGGATGGCAATGCATGTGTTCATATTTGCTCTTCATTAGTCACTGCTTGGTGAATGGTTTTCCCCTATTGATCGTGTTTCTGGACAATGAGTCCTTTAACCTTAACTGACTGTACGTACTCCATATGCCTGTGTTTGATCCGCTGTACTGTGATTTAACCTTGTAAACTCTTAAATAGATCAGTCCAAAAAATACATATTTTTTTTTTCAAGTTGTATTTGTGTAAATGCATTTATGCCCCCTCTGAGCAACACTAAACTGTAAAGACATCTAAATGCCACATCAACGCTGCTCGTATGCCAGCTGGGCCATCTAAACATGGCATGGCTTTGAGTTGGAGGGAGTGGTGTGGTCACATGTCTCTTGGGGAAACCTTACGTAACAGAACTTAAAGATTTTCAATGATAAAAATGGTGCTGGATTTGTTTTTTATTTAATATCTTAGATGTATTAATATTTATCTAACAAAACTATTAAGCTTATCTTAAGAAGCTGTGTTTTACTCCAGTGGATCAAGTCTGCTGTGAGTCAGTGGCTCAGGGACATGTTTAGTTCTACCCACGGAACGAGCTCTAGAAAGGGAAGTGAGAGCACTTTAAAGCTTTGTCCCAGCTAACATTGCAACTTCCTGTTGAATTTTTGTTCTACATTCTCTTGGAACACTTCAGGTGGCTCCCAGCTTGAGTAATGCTTCATGTTAGTCGGGGCTAGTTAGTGATCGTAGATGAACAAAGCTGTGCTATTTTCGGAGTATATTATAGCCTTTTATGTCCCTTTTTGTTCTTGTGAAATCAATTATATATATTTATATATATATATACACACACACATAAATATATATACATAAACATACAAATAAAAGCCAATAGGAATCTTTAAAAAAGCACAGTAATGTTTTCTTCGATTTGGTAGATACAGAAAGAGTTATAAGTATTGCTGATATTCCTTGAAGCACCTTAAAATGTAGTTTATTGTAGAATTTGCACTTACTGTATATACACTACCAGTCAAAAGTTTCTGAACCGTAAGATTTCTAATGTTTTTTAAGAATTCTCTTCTGCTCACCAAACCTGCATTTCTTTTATCCAAAATACAGCAAAATCAGTTATATTGTGAAATATTTTTACTATTTAGAATAACTGCTTTCTATTTGAATATATTTTAAAATGTCATTTATTCCTGTGATTTCAAAGCTGTATGTTTAGCATCATTACTGCAGTCACATGATCTTCCGAAATCATTCTGATTTGCTGCTCAGAAAACATTTATTATTATTAGGTTGAAAACAGCGGAGTATGATTTTTTTCAGGATTCTTTGAATAGAAAGTTCAGAAGCACAGCATTTATGTCTGAAATAGAAATCTTTTGTAACATAAATGTCTTTATCATTACTTTTGATCAATTTAAAGCATCCTTTTACATGCCAAATAAAAGTATTAATTTCTATAATCCCCCCCCCCCAAAAAAAACAATTCTACCGACTCCTAGCTTTTGAATGGTATAGTGTATAATGTTACAAAAGCTTTTTATTTCACATAAATACTGATCTTTGGATCTTTCTATTCATCAAAGAATCCTGAAACAATGTACTCAACCCTTTTAAATATTGATAATAATAATCAGAAATGTTTCTTGAGCAGCAAATCAGCATATTAGAATGATTTCTGAAGATCATGTGACACTGAAGACTGGAGTAATGATGCTGAAAATACAGCTGCGCATCACAGGAATAAATTACATTTGAACATATATTCTAATAGAAAGCAGTTATTCTAAATAGTACAAATATTTCACAGTATTACTGCTTTTGCTGTATTTTGGATCAAATAAATGCAGGCTTGCTGAGCAGAAGAGACTTCTTTCAAAAACATAACAAATCTTGGCAGTGCATGTATATCATCACTAGGTCAGATATATCAGAGTCGTGTGTGGTGACTGAGTAAGGAGTTACGCAGAGTCTAAAAAACACAGCTCTGAAATGATTCGATTTAAAAGATTCAACAAAACAAACAGGGCCCAGCGCCCCTCAGAGCAAAAGCAACTTTCTTAGTTCATTTCGCAAATCACACAGAATTTCTTACATTCAAATAAGACACGATGTAAACGATTATACAAAGTATGAATGAAACCCGCATAAATCTGTATAGCGGGGGCCCTGAAGTCACGTGACACGAACAGACGGCTGGGGCCCTGAAGTCACGTGACACGAACAGACAGCTGGGGCCCTGAAGTCACGTGATGAGCTGCAGTCACATGACTGAGCTGTTGAGCACACAACACAGGGCACAGACTAGAATTCTTATGGATTTCTTAAGGGACACAGGGGTTTTTAATAGAGTATGAAGAGTTAAAGGAGTATTGAGGAAGGTTAAAATCATTATTATTATTATATAGTAGAATAAGGATGAAGTGTGTGGATTTGTATGTTTGGGGGAGAAGGAGGGAATTTGGGTGTATTAGTCTGTGAACCTGTTGTCTGATCCACAC